TGTAATTTTTGTAACTTCAAAATAAACATTTTAATTTTAAATTTTTTATTGTGTTAGTAGTGTTAACTGCAGTTATTTATTACATCCCCTTGTATTGACCCCCATGCTACGCCGCTGAAAACTAAGTACTTGGCATTCAAAAGTATTTATAAAATCAATCACTATCGATTTTTTTTATAACTGGAATAAATACAAATAAATTCAAATGGAATAATTAAAAGCCCTGACCTAAGACAAAGCTGAATATCTTTAAATATCAATATATTTTTTTTATTAATAAAAAAATATTAAATCAATTTATTAAATATTTTCTGAACTCTGAAAGACTTAAACGGCCTACATACGTAACGATTTATCGTACTGCGCGTTGAACTGCAGATCGTAAAGAAAATCGTACGGCTTGCAGTACAGCCATTTTTTTTACAACTTTTTGTCGAGAAGGGCTACCGTTATGTCAAGAATTTCAAAGAAGAAAGCTGCCGTGCTTGTAGCTGCGGTATTGCTGATAGATGAAGATGATGAACAAAAAGAAATCAAAAAGCGAAATGGTGTAAAAAGTGGTTGCTGGAGAGAAAGATTTTTTTTTCATTTTATTTGCATAATCTTTTAATTTCACGTCCCATAGGCATCTATTTTCTCTATATAAATCAATAAAGTCTTCCCAGAACGTCTTATTTTTTAAATCCATAATATTGATTAAACCAAAAATAAATAAAAATTTTATCGTAACTGCGCGCTGCGGCAGGGAATACACTCCACGCGTTCAAACCCCACCCCAGACACGACCCGTTGATACGATATTTTACGGAAGCTCCGTACTGCAAACGATATGACGACTGCATACTGCAAACCATCCAATTTCCCTACACACGCTACGATTTATCGTTAATGCGGCAGTTTCGATGGATATCGTACTGCATGCAGTACGATAAATCGTTACGTGTGTAGGCCGTTTTAACCAAGACTTTTCCCATAAGAGAGAAGGTGGGGCTTAGCTATATGATTTGAAACTACAGGTTAAGCCGGTCCCACACGTTGCGTCCAACGTTGGTTCCAGCGTTGTAACCAACATTTGTCCTAGGTTTTGACAATATTGACACATTTGAGAAAGTCTGTCTCATACACTATGTGGCAAATGTTCATGTCGTGTGGGACCGGCTTTAGTCTGTTAACCAGCGAGCATACAGTGTGTTAGGATCCAAGTGGCACAGGACCGAGAAGAGTGGAAAGATTTGAGGGAGGCCTACGTCCAGCAGTGGACACTTCAGGCTGGTTGATGATACAGTGTGTAAATAAAATATAGTAAATTTTCTTCTAAAAAATTGGCACTTATGCAGCGTGAATCTTAAACAGGTGCTAATATTTTGAGGGGTAGTATATTTAGAGCCCAGAAACCAGAAACACGTCTGTGAAGTCTTTTTCGCGAATTTTTTTTTGGAAAATTTGGATTTTTCTTTAGTTAAAAACATGTTATCTTTATAATATGGCATAGGTAGTAGATTAAATTTACATTAAAGAAAGCCCAGAAAAAATCCAGTGCTTCTCAAAATTTAGGCGAAAAATCAATTTTTTTGAAAATTTTCAAGTAAAATAACTCAGTTATTTTGGACTTATTTGCAAAATGGTAAAGAGAAAATATGATTTTATCGAGATCTACCAGCCATGTAAAAAATTTTCATTTATTTAAGACTCGCCCTGTATATTAAAATTTATTTTTTTTCTCACATTTTCCCAAAATAACTAACAAATTAAACCAATCTAAAGAACACTAATAATATATACTAATAAAATTAAACTATTAGAAAAGTAAATCTTAAAATGTCTAATTCCTATATTTATACATAATTTAAAAAAATGTAATAAACATTATATTCTTACAAAAACAATATATCTAGATTAATCCATAACCATCTCAACTATCTACAATTTTTTCCTCAATAGTTTTATCTCAGCATTTTTTTACTCGGCAGTTTGAGATAAAGCAGATAGCTTAGAAAATTTAGTTTGAAAGTGTTTGTTCCAATAAAATTATAGGCTGTTTTTTAAAAATAGTTTTATCTCAAAAATATATTTTTTTTATTTCGAAAACCTAGACTAAAATGTGAGAGATTATAGATAAAGCTGTTGTCTGTCCTCAGGCAAAGGTGGTAGGTGAGTGATAATAGTCTAAATAATATTATTTAAAAAAAGTAATATGTTTAATGACGTGTAGTGTTTGTAATCTTAGTTATAACATGTAGATACAATCGTAAGTATTCATAAATAGTAATTTACATACTACATACATATAAGGTTTTTGTTTATTTTTCTTTGGTCTATGAACAATTTATCAAATGGGCACAGATTTTATTATTCTTGTAAGAGAAGTATGTTTTTATGTCGAATTTCCTAATATTCTAATATTTATTTAGCGTATTTCAAAGACTATAAGCCAGCTTATCTGGTATAAAAAATAGCGAATTTATAATAGGAATATAGTTTTGCTGATAACCTAGATTTTAGATTGAAAACCTTCGCGAACAAATCCGCGAGAACACGTAATTTTCCAACAAATAAATATTTTATTAGTTACACAAATATTTTTTGCTTTATTAGAATCAAATTTAATAATTGGTTTAAGTAAAATATTTATAAATAAAATTTTCAATGTTACTTGTTATAAAATACTTTATTATTATACATACCTTCTTTTTTATTATTTTTAGAGAAAACTCAAAATTTAATTGAGGATGCAGTCAATAATCACCACACAGGCTAATACAACTACTTTTTCAAATTTGTCAAGCTGTCGAGAATCTTATTCCCATCATCAGAACAGTTTGACTGAGTCAATTAGCAAAAAAAAACATCCTCTGCACATAAAGGCCTTAAAACTAGCATCATATGACATTGGAATACAAGGAAATGTCCTTGTATTCCAATGTTTGACAGATTTGAAAAAGTAGTTTTATTAGCCTGTGTGGTGATTATTTATTAAGAAAAAACTCAAAATTTAAGTGAGGATGCAGTAATATCCTCACTTAAATTTTGAGTTTTTTCTTAACTTAGTCGGTCACGACTAACCTGCTATTTTCTATTTTTATGTAAAATTCTGAGTTATTATATTGTTTTAATGAATGTCTAAAAATAGACTTGAAATTTTAAATATGGCCTAATAGAAATTATATTTAAATGTCTTCTATAACAATTATAACTATCCAATTTATTCAGTTTAAATTAGCTATAAGTTAATTAAAATTTCTTTATAGAGTTTTTATCCGCGACAATGTATAATAATATAATTTGATAATTTTCACTAATCGAATATCATCTGTAATAATAATATACCAGGTGATAACGAAGTAGTTGTAAAAATCGCTATTGGGCTTATTTTTATCGTATACATTTGAAACTTGTACCTTGTACTCACACTTTTAGTTAAACTGAATTTAATATCAATTTCGGTTTTTCTAAGTGGATATCAGATGTTACTTAGCCTGTATATTTTATTTTACTTGCAAATTCAGTATGAGCTAATTTTGAAGTTAATGATAAGCCCCAAACTTAAAAACCACCCTCTCAAACATCACCGTCCCAAAAAACTACCCCCTAAAAAAACACTCTTTTAAAACATAAACTAAAAACCACTTCTTAAAAAATCATCCCCTTAAAAACACCCCTAATTTTATTTTGATCCGTTCAAAGATTATATGTTCACAATAAGTTCAAAAATTATACTAGCCCTTGTCATTTTATTTCTGTGGTCTGTATTATTATAATGCATAGGACAGAAATAAATACAGGGTGAGTCTTTAATAAGTGCAAATATTTTCAGGGCTGGTAGATCTCGATAAAAGAAACATATTTTCTCTTTACCGTTTTTCAAATAAGTTTAAAATAACCTAGTTATTTTACTTTGAAAATTTCCAAAAATGTCCTACCTATGATGCCACATTATAAATAAATTATGTTTTTTAACTAAAAACTAAAAAAAATTCCAAAAATTCCAAATTTTTGCGAAAAAGGCGTTATAATCGTGTTTCTGGGGTCGAAATATACTATCCCTAAATATATTTGCTCCTATTTAAGACTCGCCCTGTATATACGACCAGTTGTCAGACAGAGAGACAAAATAAAAAGCGGCATACAGTGTTGCCGATTCGTACGAGAAATAAAATAGTATACGAAGATAATATATCTAAGCTATTCAATAATGCTTATTTGTGTTAGACAGTTGTTTAAGCATCTATTACAACTGTAGTAAAATGAGTAATTAATTGTAAAAAATAAAGTCCAACCCTACATGCAACATTTTTCGTAAACACCTACTTGTGCGGTTTGAAATTTTGATGCAAAATCCGCAATACTGCATTGAATAAATGTATCAACTTAACTTTTATCTCTTCCATTATTTGATTTTTTATTTAAGCTGTCTACATCACTGTCTTACAAGTTAAAATCCAGACCACGCAGTTCCGATGATCAGATCAGTATATGACATACAAGTAACAAAAAAATTTTGAAAAAGAAATAATATACCAAAAAAAGACAAATAATAGAAACATTCGGGGAAAGTCCGACCCTGTGCGTTTCATATTTTCGCAACGCGAAGGTGAACTATCCGAGCGGCAAAAAACGCTAAGGGCGCTCTCTTCAGCCGGCGAAAGTGCGTTACGACTCCGATCGCAGTCGGCCAGGAAATAGGAACCGAAGCTCTATTATTCCCGATCCGCTCTAACGGGAGCACAGGACCACCGATGCTCGCTTTTACTTTTAAAAAATCGTTGCCGCCAGCAGCACCGAGAGAGAGTAGAGCAAGCAGGCACCCAAAGCTGCTCCGCTCGATTTTTTATTTTGATATTTTTAATTGCGGGTCTGTACTCGTTATATTCTGCGCATTTTCATTCGCGAATAGGCGGGGTGGTCTCTCTCTCTCCCCCTCCCTCCCCTACCCCCCGCGCTCCGTGTTCCCGCTGCACGCACTATTTTTTAGTGCCGGCTTATTACAGCAGATGTCTCATGGCGATGTCCCAATAAAGAATAAGCGCGGTCCTGGTCCCGTCATTTTTTGCGCGCTCCAAATTTTCATATATTCGCTCGCCGTCGCCCGCGTCGACCTGACGGTATTTTCGTACATTTTTGCGGATGTAGTAGTTAGTTTTTAAAGACGGCCGGTTTTCGAAGGACGCAACTACTCAACAGCGCGCCAGTTTGAATCGCGCGCGGACTTGCAATTTTTTTTCGTTCGAATTTCGCCGCTTTTCGCGGCTTTTCCCTCTCGCGACGGTCAGTGCCTTCTTCAACCCTTTGACGTTTCCGTATAGTGCGAAAACACATGAGTCACGCACAAACACTGCTAGCCGTCGAGTAGACATGGATTTTTCCGAGGTTTCTCTATGACTTTTGGACTTTTCGTTGCATCAAGGTAAACTTCTTCATTGATAAAGTTGCAGGAAAGATATGCTCCATTTTTATTATTCTTTTTTAACGTAAGTTTTTTTTATTCTCACACGTTTTTATTGACTTAACGGCATTCGTAAATATGAATTAATATTTTTAATTTAAAATACTAAAAAAATACTCCAGAATCTGTATTTTTTAAATACATCTTTTATTTGTATCGTACAAATTAAAATTCTTCTTTGATGCCATTGAGGGTGTCTTAAAAAAGGTAATTTACCATATTTTTAATTGTTTTTTTGTTTAAATGTGTCTTTTTTCTAAGTTTTCGTCAATTAAAGATATAATTTTAACTCCTAAAATAAGCAACAAAAACTTTCACTGTATTTTTTATTGTTATCTTATCTTTTTTATGTCTCTTAAACTTTTCATGTCATATATAAAAAATATTTAAACTTTCACAAAGATATTTTTAGGTTTATCTTTTAGGTTATTTTTTATTTTTCGATTAATTATTTCATTAAATATCTTTTAGATTCCTAACTGCATTAATATAAAGGTAACATTTCTCGGTATACCCATTTTTTTGTTAGCTTTCTGTCAATATTTTTAAAGTAGAAAAGCAACAAGAAAGCAATTTGAGAAAAGAGTCCAGTAATATCGCTAAAAAACTCGGAAGAAAAGCTTTAACTTACTGTATTCTTTATTGTTATCTTATCTTTTTATGTCTCTTAAACTCTTTTATTAAAAAATATTTTAACTTTCACCAATCTTTTGGGTTATTTTTTTTTCGATTAATTATTTCTTTAAATATCTTTTGGATTTCTAACTGCATTAATCAATGAAAAAAAATTACAAAAATATGCTAACAGATATTTTTGTTCAATTTTCTCAAACATTTTCCTGTGTCTTCGTTTTTTCTTTTGTCGTTTTCATCAATTAATGTAATATTCTTTTATTCAAACCATTTAAAACATAAAATACCATTAGTTCTTAGAAATTTTCTAAAAAATATTAAAATTAGATAAAAAAAATGTTTTAAATTTTATTACAAATAAATATTAAAAATTATAATTCCTACTTTAATAAATAGTCTTCAAATCGAAAAGAAGCAAAATAAACATTCAATAAAAAATAATATTAAAACCAATTTTTTTTTGCATCTTTATAATTTTTTTAATAATTTATTTTTTTTTACTCAATTACTGATCATTTTAACTTATTTTTTTTTGTTTATAATAATATTTTCCTACCTGTTGATACGATAAAACTCAAAAAAGACAAAAAAAAACACTATTAAATATGGACAACTACCTGTTAAAATCACCAACCAACCAAACAAAATAGAAAATAATTATCACCGTTTATTCTGATCTATGCAAATTTTATTGGCTTTATGAATCACTGTGCTTTTTCTTGTCTAGCTGTTCGTCTGTGTGTACCTAAACGAACGAGTCGGTTCACATATCCTGCTGCTGCAAGCGACAGATAGATTCTGTTCCCTGTTGTCTCAAGGTGTTTCTGTGGGCTGGGGAGTTGCTCTATTTCAAAACAAATAATGCTGGCCCTGACCAGCAAGATTAGGGTCGTTCTACAAGTGATGCGGAAAATTTTGAGAAAGGCTTTATGTGTTTAGGTGTGGATGTAGAGGAAATATAGAGAAATATTTGAGCGATTATTAATTTAATTCGCTGTAACCTTCCTATTAAAGTGATTCTACGAAATTCTTGACTAAGTATCTGAAAATAGTCTAGAATGGTGTTATTATTATTTATTTGGTCAGTGCCGTCAGTGGCGGGTATATTACGTGGAAAACACCGAGATAAATAATGTAACTTAAAAATAATTAGTCTGACTAAAAGATTATAAATTAGATATTAAAATTTCTATAAACTATTATTATTTATTTAGTCAGTGGCGGGTACATACATAGCATTATGTCAAACTATAATTGAATAATAATTAATTTGGGTAAAAATTTTATTGTACTTAATTTAAATAATTATATTTTATTTCTTTTAGTAGTACCAAGTATAACTACACATAATATTAACTGAAAATAATAAAACAATTAGTGTAAAACATAGATTATTGACTAATTACAATTTAACATAAATATTCTGTATCATCATATAACAAGACAAAATTTATTTTATATCAACATTTTTAAAAAAATGCTGAACAAATTATAAAGTGCACTAACCTTGCGATAAAAATTGTTCTAACTACTGATGCAAGAAGATCTATTTTAAAATCATTTTTATAATGCAGATTTACATCTTATCTAATTCTATTTAATTTCAGTAAACAAAATTTGAAATAAAAGTCTGCTATAGAAATACGAGGCAAAATATACAATATATATCATTTGTATTATGATATGTAATTATATTATTAGTATAGGATAGGCTTTATTCATCACTATTATTTTCTTTTTAAAGTACAGCTAAGAATTTCAAGAAAAAATAAAAAAAATAGTAAACCATTGAATTAATTAATAACACTATTAAAAAAAATGCAGAAAAATAGCTCACTAGAAAATGTAACAAGCTGCTTATAGCTCTATATCTCACTAAAAGAGTGTATTTCAATATATTATTATTTTTTTTTCTGTTATTTTCTTTCATAACTACTATGTTTAATATAAATTTGCATTTTACTTCTATGTGAAAGTAATATTTAAAAATTTTAATAATCAGAGTGTAACACCACAGGTAACACTATGAAATATTTTATATCCTATATTTTTTTTTTGAAAATGTAGTTACTTTTGTTTTTATGTCAAATTTTAAATTTGATATAATAAAATTTCCTTCACCACATTTGACTCAAAAAAATTGGCGCTGGGAGGCACGTATAGCCGCCCATACTAAAATATGTTAATAAAAAGTTGGTAGGCAGCTTTTAGTTTCAATTATCTCACTGCGACTTTGACTGATTTTGATATTATTACAAATTTGGTTGCAAATATTATTCCTAATCTTAAATTGAAAACCGCGTTTCGCTAGCTACTGTAATTTTGGAGTTACGATTTTTTTAAATTTTTAACCCACTCCCATATACCCTTACCAACCCCCCACCCCCACCAAAAACTAATGGCCAGATGGGTACCACAGTATTTTTGTGCCAAATTTGGTTAAAATCGCTTTAGCGGTTTTTGAGTTATCGTGTTACAGACGGACAGACAGACAGACACCATGAAAATATTTTGTATTTAGATCATTTATGACCCAAATAACTCATTTTGAACCTAACCTAACCTAACCTCCCTCCCCCCCTCCTCACTCATTTTACATTCTACATTCTAGAACATAACTGGGTGCTAGTGTATGGAGTCTGAAGAGTCTGTCGCGCTATTGTTCCATGGCAAGAGTGTAAAATCTATTGACACTTGACACCCACTCATTGCCGCTTTATAAGATATAAATAACAAATTTTACTTGAATTTTCATTAGTTGAAGGGGGCGGCAAAATAAATGGTGCCTAGGGTATCACTTTAATGCGGCCCTGCACCCACTACTTATTCGGGTCGGTTCGAGGCCAAATGAGATCGGATATCTGGTGAATAAGAGTCAATTTAGACAATCGTCAAGTCGGTAGGCCATTGACCATGATATGGCCGAGAACCGCGGTTCGTTTTCTCCGTAAACAAAGTGGCTCCGTCCAGATTAGCTTTAGCAGGAAAAAAAGAGACGTTAAACACCATTTGTCTATGCAGACTTCAGTATGCAAGTTATTACACATTTTGAAAAGGCTAGTATACAATGACTAAAGAATACAAGGACATATAACGCCCATATACGGGCTGCAACAGAATTTGTGATGTTAGACGCCATTTTTTTGGTTGTAATGAATGAGTCATCAGCTGGGCATCAGCGACAATCTTAGCGATTTTTAATAGTTTGTGTGCAGTGAACTTTGTATAAACTGTATTACAATGGTGATTAGTTGTTCAGCTTTCAAGTGTAAAAGCCGCAGCGATAAGAAAGAGCCAGGAGTTACGTTTCATAGGTAAATAAGCAGCCCACTCCACCTTTTTAGCGTTTTTTTTTGCCAAACCACAACCTGATATGTGCTATACGTCGATACTAGTTTTGTAACTTTTTTTAATATTTTAATACATTTTTTTTCGTAATTAATTAGTATAAGACCACCGTATACACCATAAGCATAGTCAAAAATTTTATTAAAAATATAAATATCTCTTCAAGCGGCTATGTTAAGAAAAATATTTGCCACGGCACTGTTTGGTGGTATGGTAACAATTTGGTAGCAGGTATTATTCGTCCTTGTATTCTTTAGTCATTGATAGTACAGGAGAATGTAACCTAGAGATCACAAGAAAACAACAATAAATCTCAAAATGTCACAGTGGAACAGGGCGAAAACCATCTAAAATGTCTAATTTAATGTAATCTACACCAGTATATTTTTGACACCGTCCCGACACACCAATAGTAATTCCACATTCGTTATAATTATTTCTAGTATATTTCATCTCCCACGCCTATCCCAATATTACCAAACAATGGAAAAACATTGCTCAAAATTTTACGTCGACTTTTACTCTCGTTTACAAAGATAGAACGGCATCGAACGACTAAAAAAAACGTGAAAACAAACAAAGCACCGCGTCCTTTTTTTTCCTTTCTCTATCGGTCCCGAACCCGACCCAATTCCAGAGAACGACCCAGAACGCCAGCGCGCCTGTTCCTTTCCCTTTCATTGTAGAATGCGTAGCGCGCTGGCGGCGAGTGTGCGTCCGCAATTTTTTCCCTCTTTCTCTCCGTGCCGGCTCTATTTTCCGCGTTTCTCTTCTATTTCCCTCCCCCTGCGGCGCTCCATCGCTCGCTTTTCACCCCCTTGTTCCCCCACCAACATCGCGTTGTCCAATCAAATTTTTTATAATGAACTTTTTTAATGATCGGGAGCCTGTGGAGCAGGAGGGCGCGCGTAATATGAAGCGGAGACGCTCTAGGATTACGATTGCCGAAGGGCAGAGGGGGGAGGATGGGGATGGATTGA